AGGTACATATATTTATGGGTGTATATATATATATGTAGCATATTTGTGTTATATAGATGTTTATACATACATATATATATATATATATCATATATTGGTCCATGGGGGGGTACCCTATATATATATACATACGCAGATGCCCAGTGGCCATGAAGAAACAAGGGCCATCTTCTGTGGTTCGTGGAGTTTAAAGCGGAACCACTGGGCAAACTTCCGTACTTGGCCGTATCTTGCCCGTATGGCCATGGTTTTCCGGTCATTTGCGTAAATCACCTGTGTGAAGCCAATATGTTTCGACATGTTGTTGAAAACAAGCCGTAAAAATCCGTATAGACATTTTTCGGTCAAAGGCGTACGACCTAAAAAAACGTTCATATGAGGTCCCAGGATGTATATACTATACACATATACCCTGGGGATCAAGCCACCATTGAAACAAAGGGGGTTGATATAGCCACCATTGTTCACCTAAGGATTGGCATCGTCTAAGTTGGGTCAACCATTCTGTTCATGGGAGTTGAACCGTAGGGCATATATGTATATTTTATACATAAGCGTATGTACATATCTATATATATATATATATAATGTGTTATATTATAGCACGATACACATACCAACCGCTTATATATAGATAAACATACTCATCCCTGGGGTGTAAGGTTGAACATAGGAGGGAGCTGCGGAAGTCTACTTCGCGTACTAGACACATACTACAAAATTGCGATTTTGGAGCTGGAGCTTCGGATGTTGACTTCGCGTACTGGAGTTGTGCTACAAAGCTGCGACTTTCGAGCTGGAGCTGCCGAAGGTGTGTTGAAACATTGTAGAACGATAGGGACCTTCACAAACCCGATAACCTCAAAATGTCTACTGAGGCCAAGCAAGAGGTTTCGGCAGTGCTCAAAAATCGCAACTTGAGGGTGATCGGCTTTGGGGGGGTCCTTATCGTTCTGCAGGGTTTCGTGCAGTTCCGACATGCAATTCAATTCAACCCCTCTTGATAAATTGGTCTTCGCAGGTTGTGGCCGTGGCTTCTTTTCTTGCCGGTTTTCGGCGGGGAACTGTCGCGCTGAATCCGTCTGGGGCGGATTCCTTTCAGGGAAGTTTTTCCGCAACCGACGCATGCACAGCATCCCAACGATTCCCAACTGAGAACTAGAAAAACAAAAATCTCTCAAAAGTCCAAATTAAAAATGGGTTCTCGCCCCAAACCTTTGGGGCGCATGCCCTTTAAGGGTAGTTTGAGGGTCCACCATGAACCTCAAGCCCGCTGTAAGCCCTCAAGCCCTCAAGCCTCGGACCAGGCATGGCCCTAACAATGGCGGGGAGGTCCTTGAATTCGTTGATTTGTCGACCGGATCGGTATTTACCATGGAAACCTGATCGGCGTTTCAACAAACGCCCTAGAAAAAGTGGATACCCATTTGTATTTCGGGTCATGGAGACTCCCGGTTCATTCGCGTAAGCCCCCTGGAAGGGGGAAGAAAAAAAACGGTGTCCTGCAGTGATGGATTCCCTTCAAAGCCAACAGGGGAAAAAGCATACTCTTAAGCCAATAGAATATTTGGGTGGTTCGTTGATCCCTTTCACGAACCAGCTCGGAAGTTGAAAGGCATGCCCAGCGCTCGAAAAACCGGGGCCGTGCTCTTGCTTTGTTGCTTCATGTTCAACATGTGGCTGTGGGTCAAAACCCAGGAAACCCCTGGTGAAGATCAAAATATATAGCCAGCAAATGGATGTTCATCCACGCCAAAATGGAGCCATTGGTTCTGCCCGATAATCATACCAAGGTGGTTGACCCCGTGTTATCCACAAAAGGGACCGTTTCCCCTCAAAGAAATGGCCCTCCCCCTCATGGATTTAACCTCGTCCAGGGTTCCATTAAATAACACAAGTCGCCCATGATCTAGTCATCTAGGGAAAAGGCAGCCAGGAAACGGGTCATGATTCAAGACGGGACACAATACGGGAAGCTGCTCATTCTACCAGCCTTGTCTACCTCCCTCAACCCTCAAACTACCAACTTGAGGGTCCAGGTAGAGGAGTGATCTTGGCTCAACTTTGCTTTGGCGATGTCAGCCTAGTTGCGCTGCTAAGAGCTCAAGGTCCGGTCCCCTTCGAAACTGAACCCTCTCTTTGTTCAGATGGGCGTGTGTCGAAATGCGGTTGGCCCCTCTAGGTCTAAGATTTGATTCCGCATTCTCTTTAGCCATCGTTCTCTTTAGAAACCACCAAGTTTCAAGGGTCTGGTCCCTTTTTTTGAAGAGAAGGTTCTGTAAAGAGAATGGGGAGGGTACAGCTAGACTAGGTGGTCCGTCTCCCCTTTTAAGGCCAATCAAAAAAGGAGTCCGACTCATGTGAGGTAGACCCAAATGACTGCCTTAACATCTGCCTATCTGCGGGGTTGGGGTCCGGGGGGGGGGCCAAAAGGGGCAAGGGATCCGTTGCTTTTCGGCATAGCCTTCAGACCCAATGCGCGGAAGATCAAACACACATTTTCATGCGACCCCAAAGCACAAATAACACACAAACAAACACGTGTTCCCTTCTTTTTTTAAAGCCATACTGAACTTGCCCGGTACTCACTCTTTGTTGGGATTTCCGCGCGAGAGCTATGGAACTCTGCGTGCAGCCTAGCCTACTTGCCCAGTGACCTGCTCGAAAACTGGGACGTGCTCTTGCTTCGTTGCTTCATGTTCAACATGTCTGTGGAAAAACAACTGCACTTTCTTCCGTCATACCAAGGTGGTTGATTCCCATCACAATTGTGCCGCCAAGAGCATTCTGTTGGTATCACAGAAAGTCGTCCAAACAAACAGTCCACAAACATGATCCCCCAATACAAAAGTGGTTGTCATTTCGTGAGGGTACCGTTTTTGGTTGGTGTTTAAGAGAAAACTAAGAGGAAGAACAATTGGTTTGGGGAGTCCCCTACAAAAGACATACACAAAAAGGGCCCTTGCACCTCATTCATGGGAAGCTCAATCGAACGTGGCAACCGAAAAGGTACCCCTGCGACGACTAACTGGGTGTGACTTAAAGTGGCAAAGCCTCCGGAATTCCCCTCAAAAAATCCTTCAAAAAGGGCTTGTAGCCACAAAAGTACTGGGATGAATCCTCTTTTTTCTGGGTAGTCCTTTCGGGTCCAGGCACCCCTTTTTGGGGTGCCCTGAAAGAAGGCAAAGGTCAGCCAAGGCTCATGGCAATTCGGTCGCCCTGCTCCTGAACCGCAACGCAAGCGCGCGATGAGTTCGGGAGCACATGGGTATGAATTTTACTTAGGGACCCTTGGGTGGACATCAAAAATCGGTGGGGGTTTATGTCCACCAACCACTTTTCAGGTTGTTCCCCATTAAAACTCAAAGCCAAATGGGTGTACCTCAAATTGAAAGAGACGGGGCAAACCGCAGGTTTTCGTTTTTGCCATTTGCCTCTTGAGGATGATTCCATTGTTTGCGCCACGGTCAAATCGGGCTTGGGGAAGATCCGGCACCTCAACTGGGTTTCACAACGCTTGTGACTTGGTTTCAAAGGGAAAGAGTTGGGTTTCGGTTAGCAAACGGCGACTATGAGTTGCAGTGCCCAGCTCTGCCTTTTTTCTTGAGGCTGCCCTTTTGGCGGGTGAAGGTCTATGGGTGAGGGAAACCCGAAGGTGCCCCTTTTTTCAGCGGGAGCCTGCCAGTTTTATTAGAGGGCTGCAAAAAACACAGCTTGTTACCACCGTACCAAGAGGTGTAAAGTATTTGAGTGTGTTTTGTAGCTTTCAACATTTCTTCACAGTTGGTTGTCCCGTATTGGTTTCTCACGTTTTCCCAAGCTTCCAAAAAGCTGGGCAAATTATAGAAACCTCACCTACTGGGGGTCTGCGAGCTCGCTTGTTCGCAAACCCTCACTCCCTGACTTCATGGATTTTAAACGTTTTGGGAACAAGACAACAAAACCATATCACGACTAATTTTCTCAGCGGGACCCCATTTTAGTGGCAAAAAACACTGTCTTTTCCTGGCCTGCCCACTCAGGAAGAATGACTTACCCCTTAAAACTCCAAGCCCTGGGGAAGTTAATCTTTTACAGACATATAGCCCATGTTACCCAAAAAGTTGAAAAGTTGTGTTTTTAAGAGGTAAGATGAAGTTAGCAGTAAAACCTTAAGTTCTGAAAAATATGTTAAAAAAGTCATCGATAAACATATTTGCCGGATGAAGAAGTACAAAATAAAGATGCCTTTAAATAATTGAAAAACCGATTATCTGAAGTGAGAACTCGGAACCTCCTCAATGCCAACAAGAAAACAGACCCACACCCAATGTGTGACCCATAAGGATGGACTGCCTTTGAACCCCCTCTCGCAAATGGGCCTGTCCCTTTTTTGAGGGTCTGTGTTTGGTGGGTTTCGAAGGGACATCATGAGGAAAACCAGCACCATTTGTCGGGCCCAAATCCAAAGAACGAACGCTCCCAAATGTCTTCTCCCGGTTGGGTAACTCTCAAAAATGGGGCGAGTTTTATTTAGGAGTCTCCGTGGTAAATACCGATCCCTTTTTTAGGAAAGAGGGTCGACAAATCATACCCTGAAAAAAAACAACGGGTACCTGGAGTCTCCAAGGACCCTTGAAAAATGGTTGGTCAGACTACCCACAATCATGGTTGGTCATGGACCCATTTTCAGGTATTTGGTTCTCCTTTACTCGCCAAACGCGGGTTCACAAAAACGAAGCCGCGCACTCATTCCTTGCTTCACTGAAGGGATCTTGCAGATATGGCCGGTATGAACAGAACGAAACCGAACCACACACACACTACAAAACTTGCAGCAAACAACAGTGAAGAGTACTCAACACACTTTCTGAACAGCCAAATTGGGGGGGACTTTGATAAGACTCCAGACAAGGGAAGCACCAAACAGGAAAATGGTGTATGGTGTGCATGCTTCAAACACCCCACTTGGGTGGTAGTTGCCAAGGTACTAAGTGGATAGCCACTTGCGATACACAATCCACGTATAACAAGGTAACTGAGTGGACTGGCCAAAAAAGTCCGAACTTTTAAAAAATACCACTAACATGGTCAATCCAAAAAGTGTCAAGTCCATGAACTCAGGAAGTGAGCGAATGGGTAGTAAAGTCAGACCAGAATCCACCTAAGAAACCCTGATTCTGATTCCCCTTTAAATACCAACCAACCAACTTAATGCTTCAACGATGGCAACTCATTTCGTGGTGCGGTTCTCGAGATTTCGCAACCATCTGGGTGAATTATAATATTTCACCAACCTGAAATAAGGCGGTTGGGGGCTATTCCCCACATAAACCACCATTTAGGGTGAGGTCGTGTGAGGTCGTGTGAGGTCGTTCTAATTCACCCACCATCCACAGCATCAAGTCAACCATCCGAGAAGCTCCCTTCGAGGGTGGCATGGGGGTGGAAAGGGAAGCTACCCCCCACTCCAAATACCTGGAGTCTCCTTCTGACCTGAAATAAAAATGGGTCTATGACCAACCATGATTTTGGGTAATGACCAACCATTTTTCAAGGGTCATAAAGACTCCAGGTACCCTGTATTTTTCAGGGTATGATTTGTCGACCCTCTACTAAAAAAGGGATCGGTATCTACCACGCCTAATTTCTGAGTTGGGGATTTTGTTTTCGTTTTGGTCCAAAACAGGTGTACCGTTTAAAAAAAGACACGCCCACAAATTCTGTGGGGTTGTCCCATCCCGCAACCTTGGCGAACTTGGGAGGAGGTTGCGCATCTCAAGATGCATTGGCGGAAAAAAAAGAAGACATGAAGCACCAACAAAAAGAACACACACAAAATCGAAATAAATCAACATAATCTTCCCGCCCAGGGGGTGGGCGGGTCCCGTAAAGCTCCCAAAACGGAACCCAAAGCAACTCGATCTCCATGGCTTTCAGCTACCCAGATGGATGGGCCAACATGGGTATGGGTCAAAATGAAACCAGGAATCGGACCGCAGTTTTTGGTCCGGACGCTTCCATGACCCTCAAACTACCCTTAAAAAGTGAGTCCACCCCATGATTTGGGGCTGCAATATCCAACTTTTTAAGAATAGTTTGAGGGTCCAGGTACCTATTAACAACCAGACCCATGGTGCCCAAGTTTTTGTGTTCTCAGATGGGGCCCTCTTTTGGAGGGCAAGACATGGGTGTCCATCAGCTCCTCGGTATTCTCCTTCCGTGTTCGATTCGCCCAGTTTCTTCACTAGGTTCCCCCAGCTAGGTGCCCTTTCTCACCCTTTTTTGGGGGGATGGTTGCCCTACCAAAATAGACCACAGAAAAAAACAGTTGGTACCCTTATTCTAACCTCTCTACTGGAGGACCTAGTTCATTCTCATAGCTACTGTTTCTGCATTGTCATACCCCCTACTCCAAATAGCCACGTTTTTCAGGGTATGTTTTGGAAAACCCATCGGGTGTTGTTTTTTTGGGTACCCATTTTTTGGTGATTCTAAAGGGAAACCAAGAGGAAAACTGCAATTTTGGAGGGTCCCCCAACAAACGACACTGAAATAAGTGACCAGTGACCGAAAGGAAGCCGGCCGATTTGCCGAACCAATCTTCTATACGTTTTGTTGGCCAAAGGAAACCGACCACCGACAGTCCTCCTATGTTGACTACCCCAGGGTAGACTTAAACCCAGGGCTGGTTCACTACCCCCCAAAGGGGAACCCCTGACTTGAATTCTATCTTGGAAAAGTCAAGCAGTGGAACCCTGACCTTCCTTGTAACTTCTTTCCCGGCTATCTTCAAAGCACAGGAGCACCCCTCCCTGCACGAAAGGTATCCTGCTGGGCGTAGCCGCCGACGAAGGGGTTCAGATTGCCTGCGGTGGTGATAACCGTTCGGTGACAACCCGCTTCTAAGTCCCATAAGTGAAATTGACGCCCTACTCCAAAAAAACCCTCTTTTCTAGGATATGATGTCGGCCCTCTACGAAAAAAAGGGATCGGTACTTACCTTGAAAAGCCGATCGGCTTTTCCAAAAATCTCAACCAAACAACCTGGACCTCCAATTTGTTTTCAGGGTTTGTCAGGTGGTGCGAAACGATTTTTGCCCATCCACACCCCCGACTCCAAATATCATTTTTTTAGGGTATCATGTCGACCCTCTACTAAAAAAGGAGGGATTTGCCTTGAAAAACCAGGTTTTCAAAAAAACACCCTAGAAAAAGTGGGTATTTGGTCGCACATCCCCGCAGGGCGCAATCTAATTCGCCCGGAGCGGTTGACAACAGGACACCACTTCAAGCCGACTAATTAACTGAGAAACAAGCCAAACAGTCCCCCCTACTCCAAGTACCCACTTTTTCTAGGGTATTTTTTGGAGCACCTGTTTTTCATGGTAAATATCTCCTTTTTTAGTAGAGGGTCGACATCATACACTAAAAAAGTGGGCATTGGGTGCAAGGGCTAGAAGTCCAAGCCTTTTCCCGTCTTGAAGTTACATATTTTCCATATGCATTTCAAACATGGAACCCTTTTGTCGGTCGGGACCCCCAAAACTTGTTGTAGCGAAAAATCTGGGAAGTATCTCCCAAAAGTTGGAAGAGTTTGGTGCCTGCAGCCCAGAAACACAAGCCCGTTTTTTTCGTTACCCTGCTTTTGCGGTGGTTTCAAAGGGAAACCAACAGGAAGCCCGGAGCACCCAAATGGATCGTGCACCTTTTAGCGCAGGCACCTTCGATTGGCTGCTTCGGCTCTCGACTGTGGATTGGGTCTTGGCCCGGACCAGAGTCCTTAAACAAAAAACAAAAACTTTTGGCTGCAATTGGCTCCCAGCTCCAAATGGTTCAGCCTTTTTTTCCAGGCTAGCCCTGTTCTTTCGGTACCTGGAGTCTCCCGAAGGACCCTTCAAAAATGGTTGGTCATTACCCAAAATAGTGGTTGGTCATAGACCCTTTTTTTATTTCGGGTCATGGAGACTCCAGGTGTGTTTTTTGGGGAGCCCCTACATGGCTCTGGCTTTCCTGTTGGTTTCCCAACAAACCAGGGGTACCAACGGAAAAAAGAGCCACCTACTCTTAGCGGCCCCTGTGTAGGCTTCGCAAGGGAGCTTTTCTTGGTGGGTTCCATGATAGACCAGGTCTGGAGTAGAAGTGGACCGCCGTTTTTGTAAGGACAGCCTGTGGTGTATTGAGGGGTCCCTACATTCAATTTGATGTTTTAGAGAGTGCCCATTCGGATGGGGCTTGGTATGGACTGCGGGGTTACACCCCGAAGGGCCGCAAAAGGGCTACCTGGAGTCTCCTTCTTACCCTTTAAAAATTGGGTCTATGACCCAAGATGACCCACGAAACCGCTGCGGCGGTGGCCCGACCGGAGCAAGGTTGTTGTTTTTTTCTCCGGTACATGGCACAAGACCAACGATGTCTTTACCAGTGGAGCCCACTTCCCAAGAGGCCAAGCCGACCAAAAAAACAGAAGCCCAACGGATCCCGAGAAGAACCGCGTCGCTCGCCACAGCGCCTGTGGTGAACTGCTCCACCAGGCTCTGGCCCGTGGCGCCGTTCTGCGCCACGATGGCGGCCATGGCCATCATCGCCTGGGCCGGTTTTTGGGTCAAGGGGTTCCAACTGGGTTTTGGGTTTTTTTCAGAAGCCGCTAGATGAAGCAAACGAACAGGGCTCCCACACATTTTTTGCAACCAGTTGAGTTACATGGCTAGCTTTTTCAACACCAAAATATATGTGCCTCCCTTCTTCTTACAGGGCTCCTTAAAATATATACATTTTGCCCCTTTGAAACATGGCTTTTTCAACACCGAGATAAAGAAATGGACACCGCCACCTGACAAGTTGCAATCTTCGATCGGTGTCTTTCATGTCCGGATCCCTGTCCAAGGGGTTCCGAGTGGGGGGTGGGGTTCAAAATGTAACCTCCCGTTACACTGGGGCCTGCAGCTCGTTCCTGGAAAAAAGTTCGAAATCCCTCCGTGAAGCGTTACAACTCTAAGGCCTACCCCCGTAACCTCCAAATACCCGGCCTTTTTGTTTGGGTATGGTTTTTTTTTCCCAAGCCGGTTTCGGTTTCCATGGTAGATACCTCCTTTTTTAGTAGAGGCTCGACATGATAAAACAAACAAGCGGGGATACGGGGGGACTCCCTTGGCGCCATCTCCCATATCAAACTTCGTGGGGAATCCTCCTGGATCCCTGGTTCCCCCTGTATCCCTTCTATTTGGTTTCCTAATATTTTTGGTGGGTTCCGCCTCCGGCCAAGGCGGGCTTGGTTTTGTTTGGGGAGTCGCTTGCCCCAAACTCGCGGCAGGCGGAAGGGTTGGGGGGGAGGGGGTGGCGGGGGTTGGGGTGAGGGGTTGGCTGGCTGGGTTGGGTTGGGGGCGGGGTTTTTAATGCTTCTTTATTGCTCTACCAAAAAATCATGGTTCTGTTCCTGCTTTCTTCTTTCATTCTTTGGCTACCTGGAGTCTCCATGACCCTTCTCACTTATAGCCTGCCAAAAAAAAGTGTACACTTTTTCGGACACCACTAAATTAATGGGGAAACCACCAAAAAAAAGTGTAAAGTGTGTCCACTGGCCGGGTGAGCCTTTCAAAATGGGTCCATGACCCAGATGTTTTGGGCAATGACCAACCATTCTTAAAGGGTCACGGAGACTCCAGGTACAAGAAATTGAGGGGCTGAGCTTGCCAAATCAAGTGGGTTGCAAGTGAATTTGCTGCTAAGAAATTCAGCCCCCTGGGTTTTTCGTCCAACTTCTTAGCAAACTGTGATAAAGAGAGCATGTTGAACCATCAGTGAAGTGCCCGCTAATTAGCCGCTAAGAAATCCCGCAGCTCAAATTCTTGGCAGAAATTGAGCCCCTGAATTTCTTAGCCAAGGAGTCCTTCACCCGAAAAGGCCGCTAAGAAATTGAGCCCCTGATTTTCTCAGCCAAGGAGTCCTTCATCACCCGAAAAGGCCGTAAGAAATTGAGCCCCTGAATTTCTTAGCCAAGGAGTCCTTCACCCGAAAAGGCCGCTAAGAAATTGAGCCCCTGATTTTCTCAGCCGAGGAGTCCTTCACCCGAAAAGGCCGCTAAGACATTGAGCCCCTGAATTTCTTAGCCAAGGAGTCCCCCTGAATTTCTTAGCAGAATACTTCTTAAATCACCTCCTAAGAAATTGAGCCCCTGAATTTCTTGGCATGGGAGTCCTTCATCACCCGAAAAGGCCGTTAAGAAATTGAGCCCCTGAATTTCTCAGCCAAGGAGTCCTTCATCACCCGAAAAGGCCGTAAGAAATTGAGCCCCTGAATTTCTTAGCCAAGGAGTCCTTCACCCGAAAAGGCCGCTAAGAAATTGAGCCCCTGATTTTCTCAGCCGAGGAGTCCTTCACCCGAAAAGGCCGCTAAGAAATTGAGCCCCTGAATTTCTTAGCCAAGGAGTCCTTCATCACCCGAAAAGGCCGCTAAGAAATTGAGCCCCTGAATTTCTCAGCCAAGGAGTCCTTCATCACCCGAAAAGGCCGCTAAGAAATTGAGCCCCTGAATTTCTCAGCAAAGGAGTCCTTCATCACCCGAAAAGGCCGCTAAGAAATTGAGCCCCTGAATTTCTTAGCCAAGGAGTCCTTCACCGGAAAAGGCCGCTAAGAAATTGAGCCCGCTGAGCCCCTGAATTTCTTAGCCGAGGAGTCCTTCACCCGAAAAGGCCGCTAAGAAATTGAGCCCCTGAATTTCTTAGCCAAGGAGTCCTTCATCACCCGAAAAGGCCGCTAAGAAATTGAGCCCCTGAATTTCTCAGCCAAGGAGTCCTTCATCACCCGAAAAGGCCGCTAAGAAATTGAGCCCCTGAATTTCTCAGCAAAGGAGTCCTTCATCACCCGAAAAGGCCGCTAAGAAATTGAGCCCCTGAATTTCTTAGCCAAGGAGTCCTTCACCGGAAAAGGCCGCTAAGAAATGAGCCCCTGAATTTCTTAGCCAAGGAGTCCTTCACCCGAAAAGGCCGCTAAGAAATTGAGCCCCTGAATTTCTTAGCCGAAAAGGAGTCCTTCACCCGAAAAGGCCGCTAAGAAATTGAGCCCCTGAATTTCTTAGCCAAGGAGTCCTTCGGAAAAGGCCGCTAAGAAATTGAGCCCCTGAATTTCTTAGCCAAGGAGTCCTTCACCCGAAAAGGCCGCTAAGAAATTGAGCCCCTGAATTTCTTAGCCAAGGAGTCCTTCACCCGAAAAGGCCGCTAAGAAATTGAGCCCCTGAATTTCTTAGCCAAGGAGTCCTTTCACCGAAAAGGCCGCTAAGAAATTGAGCCCCTGAATTTCTTAGCCAAGGAGTCCTTCATCACCCGAAAAGGCCGCTAAGAAATTGAGCCCCTGAATTCCTTAGCCAAGGAGTCCTTCACCCGAAAAGGCCGCTAAGAAATTGAGCCCCTGAATTTCTTAGCCAAGGAGTCCTTCATCACCCGAAAAGGCCGCTAAGAAATTGAGGTAGTGAATTTCTTAGCCAAGGAGTCCTTCATCACCCGAAATGGCCGCTAAGAAATTGAGCCCCTGAATTTCTTAGCCAAGGAGTCCTTCACCCGAAAAGGCCGCTAAGAAATTGAGCCCCTGAATTTCTTAGCCAAGGAGTCCTTTACCCGAAAAGGCCGCTAAGAAATTGAGCCCCTGAATTCCTTAGCCAAGGAGTCCTTCACCCGAAGAGGCCGCTAAGAAATTGAGCCCCTGATTTGGCTGTGGGTCAAAACCGCGTACCCCTGGTGAACATCAAACTAGGTGGATGGGTGTTCATCCGCCCCAAAATGGGATCGGCATAGGTTATGACCTATGGCCATTTTCTTTCATGGGGGCTGGGGGGGAGGGAGGGGGAGGGGGAGGAAGCCCAAATAAGCCCTTATTAAGCCCTTAATAAGGCCTTATTTAGGGCTTATTTGGGCTCCCCCCCCCCCTCCCTCCCCCACAGCCCCCATGCTTCTTAGAGGAAAACCCGCCAAAAATGGAAAAAATCGCCACTGGGAGCCTCCTGGAGGGCCATTCAACCCCCTTGGCCTCCTTGAGGTCTGCACAGAAAAATCTCGGCCCTAGACGGTCCCTGGAAAAAAGGCCTGGACAAATTCCCTTGGCTGACCCCAAGCAATTGGGTATGTGGCACCTGAAACACACACATGGACCCTCAACTATACCCATCAACAAGGGAATTCACTCCATACCTTTGAGACATATCCAATCTTTGCGCGTATTTGGAGGGTGCAGGTAACCATAATGGAAGCTGACACCCAATTCAAGAAGGGTGTGTTGCCGCACAATGATGAGTTCATTCGCCTTTGTTTTTATGGGCATTATGTTTGGGGTCCAGGGACAGGGACCCTAACGAATATGAGGACACCGAGCGTTCAGCCCAGTTCAGCGATACCCAGTTCAGCGACCAATCGGTTGGGTTTAGGAGAGGGTTTCCTGGAGGCCGAACCGAACACCCGTTCAGTGACCCGTTGGAATTCAAAGAGGACACCCGAAAACGTTGGGGCCGAAAAAGGAACCATCATGGAAAACCCAAACAAAGAGGGAGAAACCGAAGAAAGGTATCCCCAAGGAAACCACCTCATGACTTCGTGTCATTTGTTTGCTTGTTCTTCTTTTCCTCAAAACGGTGAGCCCGCCTTGGGATAAAGGAATGATTGCATCGTGCTGGTCTCACTCTAATAAGAACCAGGGCTGTGGTTGAAATGACGAGATGACCACTTCTGTGACGACACGAGGCTGGAATACGACCCCAGCAAATATATATATATATATATATATTATATATATATATTGCCTGGTTAGTGGAAAACAAAGGGACCCCCAAAAAACAAAAACATAAACAGGGGAGCTAATTCTGGGGAAGAACAGAAACAAAGACTAACCCCCCCCCCCAATATAAAGAGGAGATTCCCAAAGGTATCACGTAAGTGTTGGATAAACCCCGAGAGATCCTACAACCCTGCTGTCTAGTTCGCCTTGCAACCCAATGCTTGCAGCACGTTTCTAGCAACCCAGGTATGCGCAGTCCAGGTTGCAGCAGCAGCAGCAGCAGCAGATTACAAGCTCAGTTGCGCGTGCACCTGTCTGCTGGCTCCGCCGCATTCTGGATAACCCCAGGTCACAACAACCCCAGATTCAAGAATGGCAGCAAAAGCACCACATCGAGCTGCTTGAATGTGCAGGACGTTCCTCAGCTGCTCTTGCACCTGGCTGCTGTCTCCCCCGTATGGTCGAGCACCCCAGGTCACAACTGCCCCAGATTCAACAATGGCAGCAAATGCATCCGCAGTTGCTTGGATGTGCTGCACTTTTCTCAGCTTCTCTTGCACCTGGCTGCTGTCTCCGCCAAGGTGGGGATGACCCCAAGTGACAATAGCCCCAGATTCAAGAATGGCAGCAAAAGCACCTGCAGTTGCTTGGATGTGCTTGACGTTCCTCAGCTGCTCTTGCACCTGGCTGCTATCTCCGCCATATTCTGGATTACCCCAGGTCACAACAGCCCCAGATTCGAGAGTGGCAGCAAAAGCACGGTCAGTTGCTTGGATGTGCTGGACGTTCTTCAGCTGCTCTTGCACCTGGCTGCTGTCTCCGCCACGGTGTTGATCACCCCAGGTCACAACAACCCCAAATTCAAGAATGGCAGCAAAAGCACCATGAGTTGTTTGGATGTGCTGGACGTGCCTCAGCTGCTCTTGCACCTGGCTGCTGTCTCCGCCAAAGTCTGGATCACCCCAGGTCGCAACAGCCCCACAGGCAAGAATGGCAGCAAAAGCACGGCCAGTGGCTTGGACGTGCTGGACGTTTTTCAGCTGCTTTCGCATCTGGTATTCTGGATAACCCCAGGTCACAACAACCCCAGATTCAAGAATGGCAGCAAAAGCACAGTGAGTTGATTGGATGCGCTGGACGTGCCTCAGCTGCTCTTGCACCTGGCTGCTGTCTCCGCCAAAGTCTGGATCACCCCAGGTCACAACAGCGCCAGATTCAAGAATGGCAGCAAAAGCACCGGCAGTTGCTTGGATGTGCTTGACGTTCCTCAGCTGCTCTTGCACCTGGCTGCTATCTCCGCCGCAGTCTGGATTACCCCAGGTCACCACAGCCCCAGATTCGAGAATGGCTGCAAAAGCACCACCATACAGATCTCTAGTTGCTTGAATATGCTCGACGTTCCTCAGCTGCGCTTGCACCTGGCTGCTGTCTCCGCCGTATTCTGGATTACCCCAGGCCACAACCTCGCCCCTGTGGCCATGCCAAGCAAACGCCCCGCCGGTGGCAGCCAGTTTCCCAAGCTGCAGAACAGCAGACACCACGTCTCCATCTTGCAACCCAGCCTCAGTCAGTGTTGCTGTCATATCGAGCTGGCGGCCTTGCGCAGAAAGCTTTAATCGTCGCTGGAAATGCTGCTGCGCTCTAGCCTTCAGTTCGCCGATTGGCCTTTTTGCTGAGAGTGAGACGCGGCAACCATCTCCGCTGGGCAAGTGCACATGCACCTTCATGGCACAGGAGCGTGTTCTTCAGCTGAAGCCAAAGCGAGATCAATGTCAGCGATTCGTAACACACACACACACACACACACAATTGCGCCAATCCATACCAATCCATTCGTCAACGGGGCGCGAAGAAAGGCAGATCGTGCCGGAAAGCGGCATACGCTCAAAACCAGCACTGGAGCGTAAACCAAAAAAACAATGTGACAAAAAGAACAATGTGACACTGATGCTGCTGCTTTGTCAACCAGCACTGGCTTTTTGTAAACCAACAGCCAAAAAACAAAACAAAAAAATATCAAAAAAAACAACAACAATAACAAACACACCAAAAAAGCAAAAAAAACAAACAAACACCAAAGCACCAAAACCAAAAAAACAAAACAAAAAACCAAAGTGACAAGTGAAGGGTCCCACCCTGGGGTGGTTCTTGAACCAAACAAAAGCCTCAAATGAATGCCATCCCATCCGGGGCTCCTAGTGCTTAAGGCACCCTAGGCTTTAAGAGGGGTTCTCTGAAAAGCTTTCAACCAAAGCGGATTTCTCCTGGTGTTTGGCAGGGGTCCGGATGCATGAAAAACACGCAACTTGTCAATGGTGGTTTCCAACTTTATTTTGGTGTTGAAAAAGCCAGCCATGTTTCAAATGCTTGCAACATGTATCGGAGCCCTGTTCGGGCTTCATCTAGCGGCTTCTGGCAAACCTGAGCAACCCCCTGAGATTCAGGTGGCCCGACAGCGGGGGTCCAGAACCAGAACCGGAGCCCAAAAGAAAGGAACACCTGGAGTCTCCCTAAGGACCCTTTAAATAAAAATGGGCCCATGACCTTTTCCATTAATTTGGGGAAAAGGACCCACCATTCTTTTTTATTGGTCCTTCGGGAGACTCCAGGCACCTTTTGGAGGGAAGCGTTCAGCCAGTTTTCTAGGTCCCATGACTTCTCAGATGCGTGGATTTCCACGGGAGAAAAAAAGAGAGGCCTCGCTCATCCTTTTTGAGCTGGCTACGTTAAAAGGGGAACCCCTTACCCAAAAAAAAGAGTGAAACAAGGAAGCAACCCACTGGTTGCAACTGCGTGTAGGTGGGATGTGCCATGGGGTCCCATGGAATCCAACCAGCCCACATGCAAAAGCGAGGGGCCCATCACGCGAGGCGCCTTCCTTTCTCTGGTTGCTGCAACGAGCCCCCCGCAGAGTGAATCACTTGTTGGGGCCCGGTTTAGTGGAAAACACACCTTTCTGTCAAGCAAAAAGTTGAAGTCTGAAGATCCCTTGCCCAATAGCAGTCGAGCTTTTTGGCGGATTTCAAACTCCCGGCCCCGCCGTTTTTTGGGGAGAGACTTTTTTCTTTTCCGAACCAAGCAGCGGACACTTTTAGGGTGGTCCGTTATGCAGTCTCGCTGGGCAAAAACGAGTTCCTTTGACCGGCGTTGGACTCCGAAAAAGTTTGGCCGATTTTGCTTGGTACCTGCAGTCTCCCGAATTGGACCCGAAATAAAAATGGCAAGGGTCAGACTACCTGGAGTCTCCATGACCCGAAATAAAAATAGGTCCATGACCAACCAATATTTTGGGTAATGACCAACCATTTTTAAAGGGTCATGGAGACTCCAGGTACCCAAAATAATGGAAAGGGTCATGGACCCATTTTTACTTAAAGGGTCCAATTCGGGAGACGCCAGGTAGTTCTTTCGGGTTCAGGTACCACCTCCGAATGCCCGGCCTTTTTTTGGTTGGTATGATTTGTCGACCCACTTGCCTAAAAAAGGGATCGGTATTTACCATGGAAACCCGAAACCGGCTTTTCAAAAACTAGAAAAAGTGGGTACCTGGAGCAGGGGGTTTTAACACCTGGAGTCTCCCTAAGGACCCTTAAAAAATGGTTGGTCATTACCCAAGATAATGGTTGGAGCCATTTTTTAAAGAGGAAAACCACAAATCATGGAGACTCCAGGTACACACACACGCACAAAAATTCCAAACATGGCCTGAAGGAATCGACCTGTTGGGGCTCGCTCGCTCGCTAGGTCAAGCGGCCAAGCGCCCGTTGTTGATCTCGGCCAGAAGCTTCTTCTTCTTCTCCTGGCCGGGCCATGAACCACCTGGAGTCTCCCCAAGGACCCGAAATAAAGATGCGTCCATGAGGTTTTCGCCAGAATTTTTGTGAGGGTTCCCTATATTTTCCCTAGGCGTCCTTGGCCTCTAGTGATTCAGGAACCGGTTCCCTAGCATTTCTACCTGGAGTCTCCCGACGGAGTCTTTCAAAATGGGTCCATGACCAACCATTATTTTGGGTAACGACCTCATTTTTGAAGGGTCATGGAGACTCCAGGCACTTATCTCGGCCAGACCAATCCGACCATTACAAAAAGCGGAGACTCGGAGACTCGCTCTGCTGGTGAAAAAGGGTCTTGAAGCTTCCATGTGCTTTTTTTAAGCCCCCCGGAAAAAAATAAAGATGTTTCCGGTAGTGATAGATTCCATTTAAAACAAACAGGGGAAAATCACACATATGAATTTCAGCGAACGGAAGGAAGGAAACCCCATAACTGCAAAAGGGCAAGGTGAGCTAAGTCCAATGATAACGCTGATCGACTTATAAATCTTGGGCAGGCTGGGCTACCCAGATTCGCCCAAACCCAGCGCGGGGCGTTCTTCTCTGCTCGCCACGCGTGGGCGTTGGAGCCGGTGAGGCTTCTGCCCATACCCAGCTTCCTCTTAGTTGGTTTGGAGCCGAATCGGTGGCTGGGTCCTCCAGTAGAGAGGATAGAACAAGGGTACCAACTTTTTTCTGTACATGGGAACCCTCCCAACCAAAAAAGTTGGTGAGAAAGGGCACCTAGCTGGGGCACCTAGCAGCAATCAGGGCTTCCCTGACATATTTCACGCGCCCAGTTTCTGCCCGTGGCGGGCGAAACAAAATTGGGCAGCGAGGTGAGGAAAAGAAATGCGACAAGTCTCAACCCAACAGCCCACAGCCCACGAAATGTTTCAGTTGCGGCCCCCTGAGAGCTCCTTGGGGGTTTCTTCTTTGTTCCTCATATCTTTGGGGTCTTCAGGATATGTCACCTGGGTTTCTTCTTGGCTTTTGGTGTACCTGGAGTCTCCCGAATCGGACCCGAAATAAAAATGGCAAGGGTCATTACCCAAACTAATGGAAAGGGTCATGGACCCATGTTTAAAGGGTCCTTAGGGAGACTCCAGGTAGAAATGCTAGGGAACCGGTTCCTGAATCACTAGAGGCCAAGGACGCCTACGTAGGGAAAATATAGGGAACCCTCACACAAAAATTATGGCGAAAACCTCACGGCCATGGCCGACTTCACCCACCCAGCGCACGAAACTGCGGGCAAAGCTGACCCAAAGTGAGGAAGCCGCAGTGTTAAGCGCAGCCCATTTTCACCAGAGCTAGCCCACAACAAAAAACACAACACTGTGTCTGATTACATGTCACATCTAGTCTAACTACCCTAAAATATAGAAAGGACGGAGAGGCCAGAAACTGTAAACCGGCAGCTGGTGGGCTACTGAATCTAAAATGAAACTTATATCTGATAACTTGCACAAAATGTTGGTTCTAAAAAAAGGCAGCTGGATTGATGAAAGGGTAGCTTGTGCCCCCCCGATCTCCAAATACCTGAAGTCTCCCTAAGGACCCTTTAAAACTGGTGGGTCAGACTACCCAAAGAATGGTTGGTCATGGTTCCCCACTTTTGTTCTGGGTCCTTAGGGAGACTCCTGGTATCTCAAACTACTGTGGATGGACGAAATCCATTTCGCACCACCTGAGAAACCCTAGATTGTTGATTCCCCAACGCAAATACCAACAAACAACGGTTCTCATGGTTTCAAAGTGGTGCAGTGATTCTGTCCATCCACAGTAGGGACCCCCCCGTGGGCCGCTGGAAAAATGGGTTGGAACCCTGTTGTGTCTCCTCACATGCCCTGAGCCAGCTGTGCACAGAATAGGGTCTGATCTAAACAAGGGTGCCCCCAAAACTCAAATGTCCACAACCCCCGCCCCCCCCCCCAATAAAAAAGAAAGAAAGAAGAACAAACAATTAAACACAGAACAAGCATTGGTTTTCTTTTCAAACAACTAATGTGACTTCCCTTCTCCCTCTCCAACCTCTGCCAGCACTCATGCGGAGAACAAGACCGTCTTTCCCCGAGTGGTCGCTTCAAGGTGTGGGCCAATTTCCTGTGTATCTGGTCGCTTTTTGCGACCACGTAAAATGGAGGCGTCCCCAAAATACGTGGAAAAACCCCAAAGGACCATTTTTTCTGGTTCTGTACCGCTTTTCTCGGGGTCAAAGCCAATAAAAAAAGGGGTCTTTTGGGGTCCAGGTACGTAGAAAACCCCAGGCGGTATCCGAGGAGAACCTAAAAGGGATCCCGACCATGCTTCAGCGTCCTCCACGCGTTGGCTTCGGAAAGTTCGTCACAAGCTGCGTGGCTTGAAAAAAGATGGTGGGGTTCCTTTTGGCCTTCTTTAAAAACCACCCCAAAAAGGTTATATACCCTCAGTCATGGTACTCGTGGGTGGCTTTTTGGCTCCTTTTTTTAAACCACCCTGGAAAGCCGTATGGCCGTGTTTTTTTGGACGGAACCCGTATTTAGATCATTTTTCCCGCATGGTCATTTCTTGCTGGCCGGTGGCCGTATTTGGCCGTATGCAACCCGCATATTTGTTCAACAAATTGTTCACAAAAAGCCGTAAATAACCGTATGGCCATTTTTTGTGGCCCAAGCCGTATGGACAGAAAAAAGGCGTCACATGGCGTCACATATGGGTTTCCAGGACCCCAAAAAGGTTGCATACCCTCAGTCATGGTAGTCGTGGGTTTCTTAACCACCCCAAAAAAGGTTCCCCTCCAGCGACAGACACACACCTTTGGTCGCCCCAAGAGCGAGATTCCCGCCTCTGCCTCCACCCCTCCCCCCCCCCCTTTCCCCACCCCGGGCCCCCCTTCCCCCCTTCCCCACCCCCCCGCCCAAGTTCTGTGCCTCGGCGGAGAGGGTGTTGATCTGGCCCCAGAAGGGCGGGTACCCGTAGTTGGTGGGGAAGGCCAAATTCTTCGCCTGGCGAACTAGCCAAGACCCACCCCCATGTTTCGGGGTTCCCTGGTGAACAGGGATCCAGGCAAACCAGGCAAACCAGAACCCCTCTATTTGTCAAAGCAACCAAAAAGGAAACTGTTATGGCTGGGAGGCTAAGTGCAGGGATCCTTACGTGATCTGAACATTGCAACTGGTAAATTGTGGTTTCCAACTTTCTTTTGGTGTGGAAAAAACAATGTTTTAGATGGGCAAAATGTATCTTTTAAGGAGCCCTGGTGAACTTCCCCATTTCGTGGCTGAACTACATCTTTTTACCTGGAGTCTCCATGACCCTTAAAAAATGGTTAGTCATTACCCAAAATAATGGGGTCATGGACCCATTCTGTAAAAATAACGGAGACTCCAGGTAGTGGGTTTCCAATCAACCAATGCTTCTTCGCCTGCGATTCGATTCGATTCGCCAGAGCGAGCGACGAGCGGGTGATTAGCTCAGCAAACATCCCGTATGGTGTCTTTTTCTCGGTCTAACTCCCGTATCTGGCCGTATTTGCCAGCAAAGCCCTAGACAACTCGTGCACAAGATCGACACAGATTCAAGATTGGTTGCTTGGCTGAGCGAGATTGAGCAGGGTTGAAAGCAAAAAGCGCTGGGCGCGAAGTAAACTGTAAGTGTGGCTTGCCCAAGGGAAACTGCAAGGAGATGCGCCATGGCTGATTTCAATGTGCCTCCCATTTGACACAAACACATGGCCAGCCCCGCTATACTCCTTCTCTGATGCCTAAATAGCTACTGGGCTCTACCGAGGGCAAACCTTCAGCGGAGAAATGAGGGGCAGTTACTCCAGGTACACGTGGTACAGCCCTCAGGAAACTGGCTGAACAACAAATGACTATAGGGGGTGTCCTTTTTTAGGGGACCCCCCAGAACTGTGTTTTTCCTTTGGTTCCCCTTTGACACCAACCACAAGAAGGCGCCCTGAAAAAGCACAACAAATGTTTACGAAGACCTGGCAATGATCCTATATTCAAATAAAAAAGCAAAAGGGGCCCTTTTTCGGGTTGCCGGGTCGCTCTATTTTTCGGGACCCCAAAAACTGAATTTCGGCTTTCACGTTTGGCTTCCCTTTAGCACCAAAGAAGGGGACGTAGGGGCACCAACTCCAAAAGGACAGACCCAAATCAAGTTTCTATGCTCGCTTGAGGGTCAACTTCTTCGGGGTTAAAGGAGGTAGTTTCCCAAAAAGGATGCCCTTTTCAAGAAACCACCAAGTGGGTGGGTCTTTTTTGAGGGTACTCTTTTTGGTTTGTTTGAAAGGGAACCCAACAAGATTCCTCGTTTCTCCTTGAAGACACACCCAACAGGGCTCCCTACATTTCCCCTTAACACATCACCCCCGACAAGGGATACTCACCTTTCATGGACCAAAAAGCTGATGTTTAAAACCACCAAAAAGGGAAATTTAGGGACCCCTGCCCAAGCCAAGATTATATGAAGGGCTGCGAAACAAATCCCATGCCCTTCTGCGCCTTGGATTTCCCCCCCCCCCAACGACTTCCTTTGCTTTCCCAGAGCCCGGAGCGACCAATTGCATTGTTTGGGGCCCCTTTTTGGGGGTTAAAGGAACCTGGAGCCCCGAAACGCCACTTTTTTTCGGTCAAAAGGCATATTTGGCTTGTTTTTACCCGAAAGGTTGTTTTTTTCGGTCATTTGCCTTAGTTGCCCGTATTTGGCCGTATAAAACCCGTATTTTGTCGATAAAATATTGAACAAAAAGCGAAGGAAATCGTATTTGGCCGTATGACCACTTTTTTCGGGCAAAGCCTTTTGACCAAAAAAAAGCAGTGTTTTGGGGCCCCAGGAACCCCATCATATTTTTGCGGGTCCAAGCGTAGGGGGCTCCGACCTGGAGTCTCCCTAAGGACCCTTTAACAATGGTTAATCATTACCTCAAATGATGGTTGGCCATGGACCCATTCTTAGTCTGGGCCCTTAGGGAGACTCCAGGTGTGTTTCTACAGGGGAGCCCCAAAATGGCTCCGGGCTTCCCGTCACCTGTTTCCCAATGGGGTCCTGTGATCGGCAAAACCCGCCCGGTCACATCCAAGCGCCGAAGCGCTCCGAAGCGCGCATCGAGCGCCTCCAGCGCCCCGGCCAGCGCGAAGACCTGCAGCCACCCGGCCGCCGGCACCTTGTAGATGGCCTGGCGCGCTTTTTGTTTTTTGTTTGTTTGTTTTTTTGTCCTTTGGTGTTTCCTTCGAAGCAGTCTTCTTGGGGAGGGCTCTTTTTTATCGTTTCCCTCCAGTTGTTTTTTTTTTGGGAGGGTCCAATTTTCTCGGGGTCTCTTAATGATTTTGAGGGTTCCAACCTTTGTTCCAACTGGCGTGTTGTTTTTTGGCTTCCTTCGAGCTTCGATTCGTAGGTACGCCAACTGTTACTGGGTTCCAACGAGGTTCCAACTCGGCCTAGGGGTTCTCTTTTTGCCTTCGATTTCGTTGCCTTGGGGGCGGTTTTTGCCTATCCCTAGGAGCCCCCCCACAAGGGACCCGAAAAAAATATGATTTCACCCAAGGTTTCTTTTGGAAGCCTTATCACTTATCCCTGGAGTCCCCGTGACCCTTTAAACATGGGTCCATGAGGTTTTCGCCAGAATTTGTATGAGGGTTCATATGTTCCCTAGGCTTCCTTGGCCTCCAGTGATTCAGAAACCGGTTCTCACCGTCACCCTTAAAACATGGTGGAACCAACTGGCTTCCAACGAAGGGCTGAAGCCAAGGTGATCCAACTGGGTTTCCTGGAGATGCCAATCTCCATGTGTGGCCTTTTTGATGAAAAAACCAACAAACATAGACCCACCAGTTTTTTTTTGTTTAGTTGGTATGTCAACCCTCTAAAGAAGGGCGGCATGTACCTTCCTAAAGTCTAGAAACTCAGGGAGTGAGACGAAAAAACATAGGCGGCCTTTTGGGACAAACATCGATGGGTTTCCCTGGTACATGGGGCATGAAACCCATCCAAACCAGTGGAACCCATCTATTTCTAGCCAAACTAACCTAAAAAGGACACCTACCCCCTACTCCAAATACCCACTTTTTTTAGGGTATCATGTAAACCCTCTACTAAAAAAGGAGGTATTTACCATAGAAAACCAGGTTTTCAAAAAAAATACCCTAGAAAAAGGGGGTATTTGGAGTAGGGGGTATGCCAATCACTAGCTCCTTCTGGTTCTTCTGCTGCTCTGGGTCCACATGAGTCCCCCCTTTTTCGGTGAAGCCGCGTCGTGGGACGGCCAGGGACTTCGATGGACGGACCGAGGCTTCGAACTCCGGACCTTCAGTATCCCCCGGGGTGAGTTCTCACTTGCTACCAACTGAAAAAACTGGGAGATTGCAACCCAACATCATGCTTGCTGAATTCCATTTCTTATGGGTACCCCCTACTCCAAATACCCTCTTTTTGTTCGGGTATCATGCGGACCCTCTACTAAAAAAGGGAATGGGACAATTTACCGTGGAAAACCGAAACCGGTGATTCAAAAAATACCCTGAAAAAAGTCCGATCCGGGTCCTTGGAGCTTACTGGGTAGTTTGAGGGTCCAGGTAAAGGGTTCGCCTTCTGGGACCTGTACGAAACCCTCCAGGCACCTGGTTTCGTAACGAAGGGCTTGCGGCAACCGCCCGATATTTAAAAAAAAAAAAAGCCAAAGGCAAAACGAAGGGTGGCCTACTACCTGGAGTCTCCCTAAGGACCCGAAATAAAAATGGGGAACCATGACCAACCATTGTGTTGGGTAATGACCAACCATTTTTTAAGGGTCCTTAGGGAGACTCCAGGTATATGGGAAACTGTGGGAAAAGCGGATCAAAACAGGACAAACCAAAGGTCAGCTCCGACATCCGAGGGCGTCCAAGTGCTCATTTTGAGTAAACAAAAAAACACATCCCGCAGAACAGGGCTATGGACCGCAGATTGTAGTCAATGAGTCCGTTATTTCCATTTACGGATCCATGCGTTTTGGTTCTTTCTTTTGGGTCCCATTTGTTTCGTGTTCTACTTTTCAGCCACATGGGTCAAAAAACATCCGAGCCGGCAACAGGCGCGTGGAGCAACAAATTGCCGTTGCTAAAGCCGGCTGACGTTTGAGCTCCACGTCGATCCCCAAGTCGGGGGTTGACTTTACATGTGATGACCATTGGGGGAAAATCAAAAAACAAATATTCTCTGGGTGGATTTTCTCATAGTTCACCAGCCTAATATTTTTTTGGTGGTTGGGCGGCCATTCCCCACATAAACCACCAATTGAAGTGAGGTCGTGTGAGGTCGTTATAATTCACCCAGATGATATGGGTGTGGGTCAAACAGTTCGACCACCAGGAAATGGACCGCAGGTTTTCTTCTCCATGTCTTCATTTACCAGGGCAAGCCATTTTGGGTGCCTATTCTTGACCCACAGCCATATGCCCCGCTACATGGGAAACGTTACCCATGGTCATTTAGGGGCCAGGAATATTGATCAACCCGCAAGTGAAGGGCCTTTGTCATGGTGAGCCCGTTATACCCCCGAATCGGTGAGCTCGCCATAAAAGAGGCAGAACTCTTGAACCAGGTAGAAGCACTTCAGCTGCGCTATCCGTGTTCAGATCCCCTGCGAAAATGACAGTCTTTTAGTGGACCAAATGGACCCCCTCCACCACACCCTATACAAAAAGCTAAAAAGGCAAATGATTTGGACGGCTGGGAACCACTTGAAAGTCACAATTCGCGAACTTCGGATTTACCTCCGACTATATAACATGAAAGTGCGCAGAGCCCTGCAGAAAGACGACTTTCATCTTGGAAAGCGGCTGTGCACTTCCATGGAATGTTGGTGGAAGTTTAGCCAGGACTTTGATCCGTCCTCCCCCCCGGCCCCCCAAACAAAAAGGTCAGGGGTTCCTCCATTGATTTTCCAACTTCTCTCTTTAATCAGGGCTTCCTACACGTGGGTTTGTCTCATGGGATAAGGGACCTCCAAATAGACGCCCATCACCCCTTTGGTTTCCCTTTCAAACCACAAGAAGTCTCAAGACCCGTTCCTCCAAAAAAGAATCCGACCTCTGGAACCCTGGCAGCAACCAATTTACCTGGAGTCTCCATGACCCTCTACAAATGGTTGGTCATTGCCCAAAATATTGGTTGGTCATGGACCCATTTTTATTTCGGGTCCTTAGGGAGACTCCAGGTAGCACTGAGTGGTATGCCTTTGTCCTAGCATGGCACACCCTGAAGAGTTTTCTCTTGATCTTTGACCGTCATGGAATCTTTGGGGGGGCTATGGGGGGGGGGGAGAGCCTATCCCCCAAGGATAAGCCCTTCATAAGGCCTTATGAAGGGCTTAAGGGATAGCCCCCCCTCCCCATAGCCCCCCTTGGAGGTTGATCTTTGACCGGAAGATCGAGTGCTCCGGGCTCCGCCTCGATTGTGCAGGGGATGTCCGAGAACTTCCTCGAATCGAAGCTTTTTCATTTGCAATTTGACCGGTGGGTCCAGTGGATTTATTCACCTGTATAGCAGGTCAGCCAAAAAAAAACACCCGTTAAACATATTGGTCACCAAATCACACAGGGAATTGTATGGCAAGTCACCCAAAAAAGAATCACATCCTTTAAACATTGGCAGTTTGCTAGTGGGCTGTGTTGTCCTTGTGTAATGGAGCTAGGGCACGCGGATCAAAGCTACTCTCCATGACCCTGTAAAATTTGTTGGTCATTTCCCAAAATAATGGGGGTCATGACCAACCATTTTTTAGGGTCAGAAGGAGACTCCAGGTAGTTAGTTTTGCTGGTAAAGACAAACAGAAGGAAGCCAAAAGGTGAAAGGATCAGATCGGACTGGCCATGGTTAGACCACCCTAACGTTGACCCCGGATTAATAAACGCCTGGTTGATTAATAGGGGGGGTGGGGTCCCTGGTTTTAGGGGGCTTTTGGAAGGGAACATTAGGGAATCGAGCCTCAAACACGCGCACACACACACACACACAAACACATTCAACAGGGTTGCCAAGCTCTTTGCTAGGCACTGCCTCTAAAGCTGAACAGGCCGAATCAACTAGTTGAACCCTTTTTCAAGTTTTCTCTAACGAGATTTGTAGACTTTGATTCTTGGGAATTGCAAACACTCCCTTCCCAGCTTTACAGTTCTAGAGCTTGGAGTTACCTGGAGTCTCCCTAACGACCCTGAAAAATTGGCTGATCATTACCCAAAATATTGGTTGGTCATGGACCCATGCTTAAAGGGTCCTTACGGAGACTCCAGGTACATGTTGAATTTCACCCTAACCACATCCACCCCAATGCTCGCACCAATCCAACACATCACCTGTTCAAACCCGGGAGCAAGGATGAACTGGCTTGGGGGACTGCTCTGCGACAAATTTCTAGGCGTGGATTCCATGGTTCTTTTACCCAAAAAACGGATCCGTTTCCCCTGGGTTTTTGCTTGGTTGATGTTGGAAAGGGGAGCAACAAATTATTGTTTAGCAGTTAAGTGGGGATGTTCCACTAAACCACACTAAGCAAAAATGTAGGTTGTTTCCCAATAACAACTATGTTTGATGGTTTCCTGAAAAGATTCGGATCCCTGAAAAGAATGGGGAAGGTACCCTTAGAACATTGAACTTCAATCGCATTTGACAGTGCACTTTCTGATTGACCTGGATGTTCGAAATTAAATGAAATATGTCGTCCCCTTTGAATATCTATATATATATATACATGTCAACCAACAGAACCAAACCCACCCCAAACCACTACAAACACAAACAGAGTATACAACGACCATAGAAGACTACGTAAATGCACCGCTGCCAAATAACCTGGAACCCAAAGGATGTTTCCCCAAACAAAATCCATGATAAACACGGCGGAGTATGTGCTATGGGGACACCCAAATTGTGAGGGCCATTTCGCCATGGTTCCCAAATTCCCACTCCTTATGGTCATCTGACAATTCCTTAAGGGGACTTCCTGCTATCGAATGCCCCAGGAATCCTTGCAGTGGTATAAATTCCAGGCAAGGACAGTCCCTACCGACAACTAAGGTGACTTCCACTTCAAGTTCTGTTGCTGCACCATCTGCCCCCATCAGATTCCGAATCCATGCCCGCGACCGAAACCAATGGTCTCATCGGTTGTGCTTGAGAACCCCCAATTAAGGTGGAGGGGGATTGGCGAGATCCCCCAATTCCAATGACCTTGTCTTCCCCACAAAGGGAAACATGGAACCGTAAAAGGACTTCCAGGGTCACCCCCCTCCCCCAATTCCATTCCTGGACCCCCAAAAGACCCCTTTTTTCTGGCTTTGTACCGCTTTTTTCTGGGCTTTGGGGGGTCCAGGTTTATAAGGGGGATGCTTGTGAAATGTAGTCCGCTTTAGTGCGGCGGCTTGCGGCAAATGGCAATTTCTCGCAATACGCTTCGGCATGCTGCTCATCTCAGGCTTGATCCATATCAGAGCTTCTCAAACTGGACTTCCGAGCACACAAAACTGGGATCGGTGGGATGTTTTGCTTCAAGTGTGAACCATAATCTAACATATGGCTGTGGCTCAAAAAACCGGAATTCCAAAATGGAACCCTGGCAAGTGGAACTAAAGACTAAAACCCGCGGCTTGCCCCAGCTCTTTAATTTTGAGCCACACCCACATGGTTTTGGTTGAGCAGGAGAAGCTTAGGAAACAGGGCCCGCTGAAAAAGAGCTGGGGCCCCGGAACCTTTCCCCCGTGAAATCGAGGGCAAAAGGCAAAGGGCGGGTTCCTCGAGTAGGTGGGCAGTGGTTGCAACCGTCCCAGTGCATAACCCAAATCAGCTTAGGTGCCCAATCCTGCGGAGTTCGCCTGGTGTTCCTCTGTCAGCAAGCTGCTTCAACGCCACGGATCTGCGCCGAATTACATGGAACATCATCAGCAACAAGTCGATCTTGCACCTGGCTGATGTCTCCGCCGTAGTCGGGATTACCCCAGGTCACAACAGCCCCAGATGCAAGAATGGCAGCAAAAGCACCATAAGTTGCTTGAATGCACTGGACATTCCTCAGCTGCTCTTGAACCTGGCTGCTGTCGCCGCCGTATTCTGGATCACCCCAGGTCACAACAGACCCAGATTCAAGAATGGCAGCAAAAGCAGTGCCAGTTGCTTGGATGCGCTGGACATTCCGCAGTTGCTCTCGCACCTGGCTGCTGTCTCCGCCCCAGCGTGGATCACCCCAAGTCACAACAGCCCCAGATTCAAGAATGGCAGCAAAACCACCCTCGGCAGTTGCTTGGACGTGCTGGACATTTCTCAGCTGCTCTTGGACCTGGCTGCTGTCTCCACCGCGCTGTTGATTACCCCAAGTCACAACAGCGCCACATTCAAGAATGGCAGCAAAAGCACGGCCAGTTGCTTGGATGTGCAGGACGTTCCGCAGCTGCTCTTGCACGCGACTGCTGTCTCCACCGAATTCTGGAGGACCCCAGGTCACAACAGCCCCAGATTCAAGAATGGCAGCGAATGCGCTACCAAACGGGCTAGCAGTTGCTTGGACGTGCCGGACATTCCTCAGCTGCTCTTGAACCTGGCTGCTGTCTCCGCCGTATTCTGGATCGCCCCAGGTCACAACAGCCCCAGATTTGAGAATGGCTGCAAAAGCGCGGGCATTTGCTTGGACGTGCTGGACGTTCCTCAGCGGATCTTGCACCTGGCTGGTGTCTCCGCCAAAATCTGCATCTTTCCAGGTCACAACAGCGCCAGATTGAAGAAGCGCAGCAAAAGCACCCTCAGCAGTTGCTTGGATGTGCTGTACGTTTCTCAGCTGCTCTTGCACCTGGCTGCTGTCTCCGCCATCTTCTGGATCGCCCCAGGTCACAACAGCCCCAGACTCAAGAATGGCAGCAAAAGCACGATCAGTCGCTTGGATGCACTGGACGTTCCTCAGCTTTTCTTGCACCTGGCTGCTGTCTCCGCCCCAGCGTGGATCACCCCAGGTCACAACAGCCCCAGATTCAAGAATGGCAGCAAAACCACCCTCGGCAGTTGCTTGGACGTGCTGAACATTTCTCAGCTGCTCTTGGACCTGGCTGCTGTCTCCGCCGTCATCTTTATTACCCCAGGTCACAACCTCGTCCACGTGGCCAAGCCAAGCGAATGCTTGATTGGTGGCAGCCAGTTTGCCAAGCTGCACAACGGCATGCACCACATCCCCATCTCGCAGCCCGACCTGACTCAGCGTAGCCGCCAAATCGAGCTGCCGGCCTTTCGCAATGAGCCTCACGCGGCAGTGGAAATGCTGTTGTGCTGCAGCCTGCAGCTCGCTGATGGGCGTCTCCGGAGTGACTGCTATGGAGCAACCATCTTCTCCACTGGGCAAGTGAACATCCACCTTCATGGCGCAGGAAGCAAATTCTGAGTTCAAGTTGCCAAACACAAACCTGATACACCAAACCATGTTAATTGTGGCTAGGGGACTACTTTGCAAACGGCTTTTCTGAAAAGGGACTCCCACGAGATTTGTGAGGCTTCCAATACTGAGCTGGTAGTGAAGGGCTTTCCCTGTCAGGAGCCTCTCAGTGGATGTGGATGGAGGCTGATCTTCAGCTGAAGCCAACTCCGGAAACAAATCACCGGGCCTTTGGTTGGCGGCTCGCGGCGATAAGCCAGCAAGTCATACCTCGAGTTTGTGTGTGGGGCCGCCCAAGAGGAGACTCACCTACAACTGGTCCCAGTGATGCTTAAACTGGCTCACAACAAAAGGAACCCCTGTTTATTTGATCCGCGTTCAACCGTTCAACCCAAACTAAACCTAGGATCAAATATTGAACAACATTTTTGTGACGGGCAAAAACATAACATGCTACCCACAATTGGTCCAATGGGGGTCAAACAAACACCTGGGGGGGCCACACGGATCCAGCTGCTCGTGTTTGTTTGGCTGGCGAGGAAATGCCGCGCCGGCGCTCCCGGCGCGCGGACAGCCCGACGGTCGCCAGGACCAAAGTCCCAGCGGCAGACTGTGGATGGAAATCCATGTCGCAGCGGTTTCGAATCCGTGGGAAGGCATTTGTTGCTTACAGGGGAACCATCTTTCCACGGATTCTGAGGTGGTGCGAAATGGAGTTCGTCCATCCACAGTATGACCTCGTTCTCGCTCGGTGGACCAAATCCCGCAGGAGAACGCGGCCCCGCCAACCTCCCACACAGTGGCGTGCCCCAACGGTATGCTGCACTCTCGGAGCACTTCCAGCGTATACTTCCGATCCACACTGCCTCGCGGTTAGACAACTACACGAGAACCCAACCCCAGAGGGTTTCTTGGGGGAAATCTTGAACAGATAGGACTGACGAACTGGCAAAACAACCCAAGCAGGGAAGCACACACACACACACACATTCAACATGCTTGGGCACCAAATGGCAGGCACTGCCTCACCTGAACTTCTAAACAACTACCCTTGTTCAAGTACCTGGAC